GGTGAAGGATCTGTGTGTGTGTGACGGTGAAGGATCTGTGTGTGTGTGTGACGGTGAAGGATCTGTGTGTGTGTGACGGTGAAGGATCTGAGTGTGTGTGACGGTGAAGGATCTGTGTGTGTGACGGTGAAGGATCTGTGTGTGTGGCGGTGAAGGATCTGAGTGTGTGACGGTGAAGGATCTGAGAGTGTGACGGTGAAGGATCTGTGTGTGACGGTGAAGGATCTGAGTGTGTGACGGTGAAGGATCTGTGTGTGTGACGTTGAAGGATCTGAGTGTGTGACGGTGAAGGATCTGAGTGTGTGACGGTGAAGGATCTGTGTGTGACGGTGAAGGATCTGAGTGTGTGACGGTGAAGGATCTGTGTGTGTGACGGTGAAGGATCTGAGTGTGTTGGTGAAGGATCTGAGTGTGTGACGGTGAAGGATCTGTGTGTGTGACGGTGAAGGATCTGTGTGTGTTGGTGAAGGATCTGAGTGTGTTGGTGAAGGATCTGTGTGTGTGTGACGGTGAAGGATCTGAGTGTGTTGGTGAAGGATCTGTGTGTGTGACGGTGAAGGATCTGTGTGTGTTGGTGAAGGATCTGAGTGTGTGACGGTGAAGGATCTGTGTGTGTGACGGTGAAGGATCTGAGTGTGTTGGTGAAGGATCTGAGTGTGTGACGGTGAAGGATCTGAGTGTGTGATGGTGAAGGATCTGTGTGTGACGGTGAAGGATCTGAGTGTGTGACGGTGAAGGATCTGTGTGTTGGTGAAGGATCTGTGTGTGTGTGTGTGTGTGACGGTGAAGGATCTGAGTGTGTTGGTGAAGGATCTGAGTGTGTTGGTGAAGGATCTGAGTGTGTGTGACGGTGAAGGATCTGTGTGTGTGACGGTGAAGGATCTGTGTGTGTTGGTGAAGGATCTGAGTGTGTGACGGTGAAGGATCTGTGTGTGTGACGGTGAAGGATGTGTGTGTGTGTGACGGTGAAGGATCTGAGTGTGTGACGGTGAAGGATCTGAGTGTGTGACGGTGAAGGATCTGAGTGTGTGACGGTGAAGGATCTGAGTGTGTGACGGTGAAGGATCTGAGTGTGTGACGGTGAAGGATCTGAGTGTGTGTGACGGTGAAGGATCTGTGTGTGTGTGACGGTGAAGGATCTGTGTGTGTTGGTGAAGGATCTGAGTGTGTGACGGTGAAGGATCTGAGTGTGTGACGGTGAAGGATCTGAGTGTGTGACGGTGAAGGATCTGAGTGTGTGATGGTGAAGGATCTGTGTGTGACGGTGAAGGATCTGAGTGTGTGACGGTGAAGGATCTGTGTGTTGGTGAAGGATCTGTGTGTGTGTGACGGTGAAGGATCTGAGTGTGTTGGTGAAGGATCTGAGTGTGTTGGTGAAGGATCTGTGTGTGTGTGACGGTGAAGGATCTGAGTGTGTTGGTGAAGGATCTGAGTGTGTGACGGTGAAGGATCTGTGTGTGTGACGGTGAAGGATCTGAGTGTGTTGGTGAAGGATCTGAGTGTGTTGGTGAAGGATCTGAGTGTGTTGGTGAAGGATCTGTGTGTGTGTGACGGTGAAGGATCTGAGTGTGTTGGTGAAGGATCGGTGTGTTGGTGAAGGATCTGTGTGTGTGACGGTAAAGGATCTGAGTGTGTTGGTGAAGGATCTGAGTGTGTTGGTGAAGGATCTGAGTGTGTTGGTGAAGGATCTGAGTGTGTGACGGTGAAGGATCTGAGTGTGTGACGGTGAAGGATCTGTGTGTGACGGTGAAGGATCTGTGTGTGACGGTGAAGGATCTGTGTGTGTGACGGTGAAGGATCTGAGTGTGTTGGTGAAGGATCTGAGTGTGTTGGTGAAGGATCTGTGTGTGTGTGACGGTGAAGGATCTGAGTGTGTTGGTGAAGGATCTGAGTGTGTGACGGTGAAGGATCTGTGTGTGTGACGGTGAAGGATCTGAGTGTTGGTGAAGGATCTGTGTGTGTGACGGTGAAGGATCTGAGTGTGTTGGTGAAGGATCTGAGTGTGTTGGTGAAGGATCTGTGTGTGTGACGGTGAAGGATCTGAGTGTGTGACGGTGAAGGATCTGAGTGTGTGACGGTGAAGGATCTGTGTGTGTGATGGTGAAGGATCTGTGTGTGACGGTGAAGGATCTGAGTGTGTGACGGTGAAGGATCTGTGTGTGTGACGGTGAAGGATCTGTGTGTGTTGGTGAAGGATCTGAGTGTGTTGGTGAAGGATCTGTGTGTGTGTGACGGTGAAGGATCTGAGTGTGTTGGTGAAGGATCTGTGTGTGTGACGGTGAAGGATCTGTGTGTGTTGGTGAAGGATCTGAGTGTGTGATGGTGAAGGATCTGTGTGTGTGACGGTGAAGGATCTGAGTGTGTTGGTGAAGGATCTGAGTGTGTTGGTGAAGGATCTGTGTGTGTGACGGTGAAGGATCTGAGTGTGTGACGGTGAAGGATCTGAGTGTGTGACGGTGAAGGATCTGTGTGTGTGATGGTGAAGGATCTGTGTGTGACG